CTTGCAGACAGATAATCAAATCATGTAACACATTTCAGGATAATTTTATGATATTAAGCAGAGACTAATTCGCTCAGATTCAATGAGCTACTGTGCAACAAGTCACTGGAGACTTACAGTAAATTTGCCCATTTCTATGGTGGCTATGCCTCTTTTCCACAAGCAGTCTGTCTGGTTACACATGTTCATGGTTATGGTCTTGCTCTACTTTCCATTCTTTTTTTCTGAGGCAGCACAAAAGCTTCCTGGAACCTGAAGACACTAAAAGTGTGGCTATGATGTTTTGTAACTAGTACCTTATTTTTAATTCTGGTTTGAATAAATATTCCAAAGCAACATTGCTAAATTTTCAGAAAGGTTAGTATTTTTGTCTTGCTGTTATTTGGCAACAGCAAAAATGAGTTACCTGCCCTGATCTGCACTCTTCTACCTCTGTCATTCACCAAGCAGAATGAGGGAAGCACAGATCAGCTCCTTGATGCTTTATTGTTAGACCCAGGCTGTCAACTGGCAGGTTCCCTTTCTCAGCTTCCTGTGGGAAGGAGAGACAAGGAGTGGGGAAGAAGAGCTTGCAGACCTAACTCCTCTCATTTATTCCTAGCAAGGAGAGGGAAAACAGAACTCTAGACCCTTCACCTGCCGGTCCTTGCAGGAAGTTAATATATCAGACTCCTCATGGAGAGAAGAAGCTCCTTTTGCTCCAGCACAGCACCCTGTCTTCTCCTCCCCAGAGGCCATTGATGGGGGGAGAAAGGTTTATCTCAGCTATATCCCCCTGTCTGAAGATAATAGACACCAAAGCTGAAGCAACTAGCTAGCATGAGAGAAGAAATGGGCTATTCTAGTCTGTATAGATTCTTATACCACACTCATCACCATAGTATCTGAGTGCCTTCCATCAACTTAATTTCCAGGGGAGTTCATTTCAGTCTTTGACAAGCCCCAGAGAACATTCTGCACAGACAAGTTTTACCCTTACTGTAGAGAGTTCCATTGTGCCAAAGGAGCGAAGTTGGCTATGGTCTTCATCCCAGAGCTTTAGAGAATCTTGTAGACATCCTGGTGCACAGGGAGATCTTGGCAGACCAGCAAAATGCCTGGACCACTACTGATAATTGGAAATCAATTATCATGCTTATTGCCAAAAGGAGCAAAATCAGTAGGTCTTAGCAGGATTCTGTAACAGCCTTAGCATATCTAAGCAAGAAGCCAGGAGGGGAGGGGTCAAGGAGGGAGCCAACCCTGTGTCCTTCCTGATAAGATCTCTGGTTAAATTGCTGAGGTATGTATTTTTAAAAAAGCAGGAAGTTTATCTATATCTGCCCTTTGGGATGTGTTTGTCCGGGTCCCTAAAACATGTGAACTCTGCAAAAACACATCTATCTAATTAATGGTTTGAGGAAACCTCTTGTTAAGCCAACTATTTCATAGTTTAAGCAAGTTTTTTTATTGACATGTTCTTGTTACACTAACCCAAATAAATAAGGAGAGAAAGTATGGGATAGGTGGACTCTTCAGGGACACAGTTTAGGGTCCTCAATAGCTGCTGAAAGAAGGGCCAATCAGATGGCTGGCATTGTACCGCTCGAAGACTGCTCCAGACTTCAGTAATTATTGATTTTGGAGTGTTTGACTAACCTGTTGCGGACGTAAGTGCTTGAGACTAAAATAAAGTGCAGCTTTAAGCAAAAACACTCTTGTATTGTACTGTTTGTGCCAGTCACCTATCAGTCCAATGGCCATGTCACCACTGATATATTTCCTGCCACCACTTTGCCAAGAGTAATAATTACCAAGAACTTTCAGTTTAAAAACCACGGTAACACTGGACCCAGGCTATAGAGTTTTGATGAGCCCTTGGAACTCAATTCGATATTCCATGGGAAGCGAGTGTAGAGTACAAGTTTGATGCATTCAGAGTAGCCTGTGCTACTCAGGAGACATACTGTTGTGTTTGGTGGTAGATGGAGTTTCCTAAGTACTGAAGGCTTCATGCCCAGGTAAATCACATTGCTGAAGCCTAGTCAAGAAGTGACAAAGGTGTGAATAACTGAGACCAGGACATTATCCATCAGGCTCAGATAAATCAAATCTATGCTAAATACCCCATACACATGGATCCCCTCACTCATTCCATGTCCTTCTTTCCCAAGGTTTATGCAACTTTGAGTCCCAAAGGTGCCACCTATTGATGGACTCTCTATAGTATTTGGGGGGCTCGGGCAATCAATGAACCACTGCCTGAGTGGCATAGAAGAATTCCATAAGAAAATCAAGTTATGTGCATCTAATCCTTTGGTAGTGAATTAGATCCCAAACTTAGTGTTATAAGAGGTCAGCCTGAGATTTGATGAATACATTTGGCATTGAGATCTCTACAAAGTGGATTAAGCCTCAAATTAGTTATTTGCCTTTATCCAGATACCATGGGAGATCTCCCTACTACATGAAAACAGCAAGTTTTTGTAAGACAGATTCCTACAAAAAGTTTCATATTTCTCTTGCCCACACACACACACAAATTGTATAGTGTGAGGGAGGAGAAGCTCAAACAGAAAGCTCATGACAGCTGTCCTGAATCTTTGATTTCACTGTACTAGACGGAGTCTGCATTCCATCCAGAGTTGGTGTTAGGCATCTGCTAAAACCCACAGACACAAGAGACCCATTGGACAAGGAGCACCAGCTTTCTTTTTGGAAAGGGGATTGTGCAGAGTCTCCTTCCCACTCACTAATCTTACTCAAGATCTAAAATCTGAAAATCCAGTCTTCTTAGCACAGTTACCTCAAATCTATTTTAAAAAGGGCTTGATTATGACAGCTTATGCTTGCAGTCTGTAACTAAGCAAGGCCTTAGGGAAACCTTTTAACCCACAAAAATGGTATGCTTTCCCCACCCATATCTTACTAATCCTGAAGAATGAACCAACATTCTTGGGCTTACCCACTTCTAGCCATAACTTGCCCAATGGGTTTTACTTTTCATTTCATTTAAAGCACTACAGTGATCAAATACTTTGCCAGCTATTTTTACATTTTGGGTAATTTCAGAAGTGAGTTTCTGATTTGTAAAACTAACATGGGTGATTTTGTCACACACCACCAAAAAACCCCTCTTCATCATCTATTAATGTTTTTATATAGCTCATCAAATATCAAAACTGAGGTCTGTAACTCCTAACATGGAAAAGAACAAGTAAAGGACAATGTCCTGAGGCCCTTACTCCAGCCAAACTCCCACTGACTTCTGTTTGGTGTGTTGCACTTCAGGTAGCAGTGTTTTACACTATGGCTCAAATGCAAATGACCAGAGAGTCAATGGAGAATCAATCCAACATTTTCCTTCTCAATGTGTAGCATATTTTCAAATTGCATGCTCATTTGTATTTGCTCCAGGAAGTATTTGGGGTTTTATTTGGAGTCCTTTTCTACTTCTCTTAGCACAGTACGTTTCATTACATAGCCTTTTACTTTACTTCAGTGAATATAGATCAAACACAAGAACTATTTTCCACTTGGCTCTCTGATCCACATTATGCGTTATTGACATGCCTGAGTTTAAGAATAGTTCCTTTCAATTGTGCACAGTAAGTTTTTCCATGACAAAAAAATGTAGAGCTAATGCATGTGAGATTTTTTAAAAACCGATTTAGGCGCTGCTTCAGCACAGCATATTGAACATGTGTTTAAATTTTAAGCACCCGAGTTATCCCATCTCTGTTTAGCGAAGCACTTAAGCCTGTGCTTAGCATATGTTTAAGTCCTATTGATTTCAAATGGATTTAAGACCATGTTGAAGTACTTGGTGAATCAGAGCCTTAGAATTAGAGCTCGTCAGAAAACAGATTTTCCATCCTGCGAGAAATTTTGAAAAATGTTTCTCTCTAACAAGGATGAAAACTTAATAAAAATACCTGAAAAAAATTAATTTCAGATCAAAATGTTTCATTTATTTGAAACTTTTATTTTACTTTATATAAAGAATATACTTCAAAACAGAGTCATTTTAAAACAAAAAAAATCAATATTTTTGAATGGAAAGTTTTGAAGTGATTTGAAAAGAATTGAAAAACACATTTTCATCAAAATGTATATGATTTCACCAAAAAATTGCTTTAATCAAAATGGCCTTTTGTGATGGAAAATGGCTTTCATGAAAATTTTCTAACCAATTCTGACCTTATCAGGACCAAATCTATAGCACAGATCTGCCAATGCCTAAATTCAAGTTACTGCCCACTAACAGGATTTATATACTAGACTGCAATAAGTTCATAGGTACTATTAAATTGCCATCAGGTAACTGAATTGGTTATTATAAAATCTCATAATCCTATATATCACTAGATCAAAACAGCATCAGTGGGGCCACTAGAGTCTAGTTAATAAATAATCTACTTTAATTCTCTAAATATTATATGTCAGACTGCATAAATTACCTTTGTGGTCTGAAACACTGCTGTTATGTCATGAGATGTCTAAGCGCTGAAGGTGTCCCCATTCATTGTAAAAATGTTGCATACCACATTTGCCATGACACTTAAACACATTTGCATGTAGGCTTTCAACTGTATTCTGCCTTAATATTGCAACAATGATCCCTGTGCTTTATTCAAAGGTTGCATCAACTAAACATAACTGTTATCAATAAATGCCTGGTCTGATCTTTTTCAGAATGGAGGCAATCATTTGAATGGGTTAAGATAATTGCCAACCTTAAAATGAAACAAATATTTTCCATGGCTTGTTTCCTCTTTCAAAAATAAGAAGTTATTTGAAATAATCAGCAAGAGCCTCCTTTATTGCATTTTCATACTATTTCTGAGTTTGTGAGCTCTTAGCATCACTTAATGGCATCAGACCATTGGAAGTGTTTTTAGAAACTGCTTCCATTAAACTTGGAGCTGTCATGGATTATAATGAAAAGCGCAACTTTTTTATTGTAGGAAACTTCTGATTCCAGAATAAGCCATAAACTAGCAGTACAGCAGCAAACATATCTAATGTTTCTATGAAAAAAATCATGCTAGTTTATATGTGCATGCACTCCCAAACTACCTCCCTTTCATTTTTACATATATATAGTCAAATATAATAACAAACATCAAATCATGTTTATACAGCACCTAGAACAATGGGGTCCTGGTCCATGACTGGGTCCATCCAAGGAGCTATGATAATACAAATAATAAAAAGTTATTCTCTAAGGTGCCACAAGTATTCCTGTTCTTTTTGCGGATACAGACTAACACAGCTGCTACTCTGAAACCTGTCATTATAAAGAGAGGTTCCTTTTAGTTGGGAAGTTTGAGCAAGTACAGTTCCCATCCTACTTCATAACAGTCACCACACATTACACAGGTACAAAAACTCAGACCCTTTTTGTGGCTTGCCTTTAGAAATAGGTTAACACAAACCGGTTCTAGGCCCTCCCACTCCAACTTACTTTCCATCCACTGTTGGTTAACAAGATGCACCTGCCATGGTGAGTCAGCATGATTCATTTAGCATGTCCCTGCAGGGTTCCAACACCTGCTAACAGGATGGGTTGACAGAAGAGCCCAGCCACTTTATTACAGGATGATACAGAGTTTGGTCTGTAGCAAAAAAAAAATGTGCACGTGATTTTTTTAATGTTTAGGTGGACTCAGTTGATAAAAGGATGATCCTGCCACCAAACAGCTATCTATTGTAATGTAGCATTTACACATACCAAATTGATTAATTATTCATTTACTTCTAAACACTCTTATTAGCTATTTGCTTGAAGGGACTATTTGCTTCCCACCCCCATTAATATAAGTGACCTAACTGAAAGCCAAGCTTGTCACCCAGTGCTTTCTAGGTTTCACAAGGATTCTCCCTTCCCCCACACTAACTCAAACATTGCAATATCAAATGTTCCATAGACATTTCCCTTGGGAATCTGAAAGGCTAATTAGGGTGAGCTTCACTATAAAAAATACAGTTGTTAAAACAGCTTTTGTACACACTAGAGTAATGATCATTCTTTACACATGCTGTGATTTGTTGCTGCAATTTGCAGTCATATATCTCTTAGGAGCTAATTCATGTGTTGTTATTTATTGCACGTATGATTATTAATGATATCTTAACAACTGTTGGAAGTAACTTATTTCACCTCAATAAGTCAAATGCTTCAACTCGGTGTTTACAGATCTGAAGAGATCAGTTTCTCCAGACAAGCCATTTCTCCATTTTCTCTTTTTTTCCCATCCAATACAGTTAGGAAAGATAAGGGAGTAATGTCTGAACTATTAAAATTGATAGACCTCTTTACATACATTACTGTCAAAGAATATTTGACTGATATTGTTACTAAATAGTAAAAATAATATTTTGCCAATCTATAATATCTTCTGTGTATTTAAATACCCTTTACAAAAAATAATAAATTAAGACTCCCCAAAACCCTGTGATGTAAGTAAATATTCTTATCCCACTGTTACAAAGGAGGAACCAAGGCACACAAAGATTAAGCAATTTGTCCAATATCTCAAAAGATATCAGTCAGAAAAAGAATCTGTTATTTTCTCATCCTCAAGAATGCATTAAAATTATTTTAGTTTATCTAAAGAAAGAAAGAACAAAAGTAAAGTTTCCATTAGAGCGCACAATGTTTCTTCAAATAGAAAAAGCTATTTGGAGAAAACAAATGTTGTTGAACTCTGCACATGGGAGAGTTCTTAGAAATTTAAAGGGAAAAGATGTAGAAAAGAGAAGAGAATTACAAACTTCACGCTACATACACAAACCCAGTTTCCTTTTCTCCTATCCTTGTGCTCTAACCACAAGAAAGCATCACTAAGTTCCTTAGTATCCAACAGAATTGCTGCTGAATTTATGTTAAATCTGACTGTGAAAAAAGACGCAGACAAAGGAAGTGAGAAATTCTAATAACAAAACAAATACAATGGGCCAGATTCTGCTGTCACCGATCTGAAGTAGTACCTTGATGTCAACTGAAGTGAGAGGAGAATCAGGCCTACTTAAGGCCATCTAGATTTTGAGGAGTAGTTGTTCTTCTCTCTCTAAAACACTACACAGACTTCTTTTAAATTACTAGGGGGAAAGCTGAACTCAAATAACACAAGATTTGCAAAACAGCCCTCCAAAAATAGTATTATTTTTGCAAAACTTCAAGCTCCTCAAGGTTTACCCCTTCTGAGTAAGAAGAGATTGAGACAACAGTGGAGTTAGACTAGCAAATTCTTTTTAGCTATATGATTGTTTTATAGCATAATAGAGAGACACAGTGAGTGAGGTAATATCTTTTATTGGACCAACTTCTGTTGGTGAGAGAGACAACTTTCAAGTTTACACAGAGCTCTTCTTCATAGCATGTAATACCTATACCAGGAATTAGGACATCAAATATGTATCTTACCATATCATTCAATTTCATAGATTCATTCCATTTTGTATAGTCTTTTCTTTGTTTTTGGATACTATGAGCTTTTTCGTTAAGCTCTTGGTGACCCAAACAGAGCTGGAGCATTATTTTAAAAAATGACAAATCCAGTGTCCAGAAGCTGAATGTAACTTGAACATATATTAGTCTGATTTATATAATAAAGAAATATTACTTCAATAAAAAGCTACAATATAAACAATGTTGATCAGCACTCTACTTTTAGCTTCAGCCCACTGGTCAAAAATACCTCTTTTGTTGACTTGAGTACAGTATTCGGAAAACTTGATTTCAGCTCCACAAGGCTGACTACCTGATGTGGCAAAATAACTTAAAACAGAATGTTTGCTTATTTCATTTTCACTATAACTATTAGGAGCCAGTTCTGATCTCAAACGCATCAGAGTAAATTAAAAGAAGCTATTACTTCACTGGATTTACACAAGTGTAAAGGAGACCCATGTGTGAGATGTCGCACACCTGCTAGCATCTGTGATTTAAAAAAAAACAGGTATTAGCTATGATGGTATTGTGGGCCCTTTTGTTGCTTTGTGTGATTATGTGTTTGCAAGAGAATTAATGAAAGGAGGAAATGCATTCCTATGTTTATTCACATGAATAGGCATGCTGGAAGTGTCACAAATACATGGGCACGTATGTGTTCATGTGAAATTTTTGTGCCACAAGTTACTTACTCAAACCTTACTCCTGTTGTGAAAAGTTTTACAAGCAGTTTCACAATACAGTCAAAAGCAGGTCCATTACCATCTGACCAGTTATATGATGTGAAGAGTGAATTATGGAAAGAGAATACTGGAAGCAAGTCATAGCAAGTAGTTTGTAAACAATCCATAGACTGATATTTCTTTGTATAACACATTGGTTGAACAGTTTTCAGTAACAAACAAATTAGTAAAAAATGCAAAGTCTCTTCATGAATATATCTCAAACAGAAAAAGCAATGACATTTGTCAAATCATATGCTATGACTTGTGCACCCAGATCTAATGCTTACTGGCTTTTATTTGAGAAATACGAAGCAAAAACTGTCCATCATACCCAAAGGCTTTCCAAAACTGTGTGCTAATGCTTGTATATGCAGTTACTGTGATTGTGCATTCAAATTAGGTAAATAGATGTGCCTGGATATTTGCATGCAATTTGGTGTGTGCAAATTAATCTATGCATGTTTGTATGAAGAACTCAAGATTCCTTTTTGAATAACAACTCCGCCCCCTACAAAAAAAAAAAAAACAAGCAACCCTTAACCCTAAAGAGCTTCAGTAATGAGAAAAACCAGAAAAGGGATGGATTTCTGTATAGTGAAATTTCATGATACCCATTGAAATTTGGTACAGCTTTGACAAGATCACTTTTGGTATCAGGTAGTGTCATGAGACATGTAAGCCCACCTTGTTACTAATTACTAATGTTACCAAATCATCTCTGACAAGTGCTCATACCTTGACAATTTACCATTATATTGTGAGAAGGCTGCCAGAGTTATGTAGTGAAACATCATGTGCAGTCACAGACAGTCAGGAGACAAGATTAGGTGCACCTCTCTTTTAAACTGATATAATTTACAGGTTTTTTTATTTAAAAACAAGTAAAAGTGCTGTAGGGTTAAGATGGCATTAAAATATATAGTTCCAGAATGTCTATGTGGAGGTTTGGGGCTGAGCAACAACAAAACAGTCTGGAGTGATGGGAATATGCCTTGAGGACTGACTGTTCCAGAATGACTGAGCAGACAAGACTTGAAGGAAAGCAATGAATCTGCATATCTAAAGGAGCACGGTAACAACATCAGATGAAACAAGTGACTATCAGGACTGAAAAGACTGCAGGAGTTAGTGAGCAGATGTCAAAAAGCATACAACAAGATGTCAAGAAAAGTATAACAAGCACTGGTTGCAAAGATTAGGGTGCTAAATATATGCATAATGAGTGCACCATGCCATGGCTTGCAGACCTATGAGCTGCTTTGCAAGCAAACAGACCAGAAATCAAACAAACAAAAAATTCCATGAATAAAGTCTGCAGATAAACTTGGAGTCAGACTATACACAGAAGTACATGGCAAATAAATCAATGGCTAGAATCTGCCTCTGGAATATCTCCATCATGACTATGTTATCAATAGATTGCTCTGGGCAATAAAAAGGGAAATAAGAAATAGCCAACAATTGTCAGGAAAATACACTGGGAAACCTGAAGATGATAATTACAGTGAATAGTGTCCTTTAGAACCCACCTTTTCCTACAAGCACAAATAGGAAAGAGGATTGTAGTGGTAGTGAGTGGGAGTACATTGTGGGCAAGAGCAATTGCAGGCAGAAGACAACTGGGAAAGTGCACTTACCTGAGCTACCCTTCTGTAAGTAAATCAAAAGCCCAGCATGGCATTGTACATTCCTACTGGGAATTCCAGATTTAAAATGGTGCCAGAAGAGACATTTAGCCCAACAATATAGGCACAAAAGTTAATGCCTGAAATCACTAGGGTCAGTAAGAGGGACAGTGCCCAGTACAGCGTCACCACTGATAAGCCTAAATACACATCAGTGCTTCTATATCCTGCAAATGATTCTACGAGCAACATACTGTAAGATACAGTGGTCACTGATTTCTCTGGCATGCAGTGTGACTGTGTGAAGGAACAGCTTCTCTACTCAAAGGAGAAGTCTGAGGTGTGATGTTTAACTACATCATTCTTATGATTTAATTTTCTGCATCTTGCACTTTCAAATGTCTGCATATCTGCTGTCTACAGAGATAGTTGACATTTTGTGAATTAAAGTTGGCACATTTACCAGGAGGCACACTGTGTTTCCTCAGTGACTTTACTTTTTTTCTTTGTTTTAATTATTTACCTTAATCTAAAAAGGGTATCCAGTCCATGTTACACTTTGTATAGGGAGAACATAATGCATCACTGCTTTTGCAGCTTTGGGAATGTTTATTCAGAACATCCAGGCCTGTTGAGTTCTGGTCTTTCCATTTCTTCATTCTCTTCCTTTCTCCATTCTCCTCCCTTCAGATTCCTCCATTTAGCCACAGACTATTGCTTTTTTTCATGATTTCCTACATTCCCATTTAAAGTTCTTACTCCCTACCTTTCTTCCTTCTCACTTCTTACTCACTGATACAAAGTCTCTTGAG